GTATTATTTAATTTAGTTCAGTCTGTTACTGTTCTTATTATCTTGGAGCCACTGCAACCACATAATTTTCTTAGGGATTAATAAAGTATTCTGGTTCTGAAGACAAAATGCTACAAATCTACAAATCTATGCAGAAAGGCATTAATAAGACTCATTTTATCCAATAAAGAAAGTCTTCTTTTTCTTGTTTTTCTTCTGCCTCTATCTCACCTTGTCCCTATCATCCTCATCATCACTAACCCTCTCTCCATGTCCTCTTTCATTACATCCATGGCAGCTCCATCTCTCACATCCTTTGTCCAGTATATCTACGATCCCTCCTCTGCACATGTCCAAACCATCTCAGCCCTGCCTCTCTAGCTTTGTCTCCAAGCCTGAGCCGTCCCCCTGATGCACTCGATTCTAATCCTGTCCATTCTTTTCACTCCTGATGAAAATGTTCAACTCTGCCACCTCCGGCACCACCTCCCCTTTTTTTTGTCTGTGCCACCGTCTTAAGACCATACATCATAGCAGGTCTCACCACCATCCTGTAAACCTTCTCTTTCACACTGCTATCCTTATCTCACAAATCACCCCTGACACTTGTCTCCACCCACTCGACTCTGCCTGTACTCTCTTGTGCGCTGTCTGATCTTTGGATGGTCGACCCCAGGTATTTAAAGTCAGCCCCCTTTGCTACTCTACTTCTCACATCATGCCTGCTTCACCTGCCTCCCTCTCATCTCCAAAGAAACTGGTTTGGATAATCCTATTTGCTTTCATATTTTCAGGTGTTTTCTTAAATTTGATTATTTTACTGCATCTCTTTGAGTATTTTACACTCTTATTGCGTCATTATATGCTAGATGGTTTTACAGGCTGAAGGATAATGAAAGTAACAAGTAGCCAAAATGACAAGAGGACATGAATAGGTGTGGCACGTCAAGGTTGATTAGCATTAAAGACACATATGCAAAAGCCTTACAACGTCTGACAAAAAGAAGCGGTCAAATCACAGTGGAGATGGTAATAATAGTTGCTCATAAATTCTAATGCCTGATTGCTAAGCATTTCTCATTTTAAGTTCCCCACTAGAGGTTCTTAGGCTAAAGATCTGAGTGGTAACACTAATGTAACTAGTAAACAATAGATGGGTTACTGCATGTTCTGCTAACAGCATTACAAGAAGAGGGGGGGCAGTACACTTGTTGGCCACTAGATGTCCCCCTTCCTCACTTAATCACACAAAGAACACAGAGGCAAGCCATGCTGAGATTTCTATTGAACTAAATTAAAAAGTAATGGCATTTAGTTGAAGGTTACTAACCTGGAGACGGCTGGAAGGCTTCATCAAGAAATTTGTCTGTGGGGTCTGGAATATATCGCAGGGCCATGCTTCCATCTCTGCTCGGGAATCCGTTCTGTAACAAAGAGCAGAGGTTTTCAGGGCTGTGGCACTCCCTGTGAAAATTTTGCAAAGAGGCCAGCACAAAGAGAAAAATCCTTTTCTTTACAGGTATAATAAGGGTTTAATGCATTCTCACCAGTAAGCCAGTTCTGCTGTGGCACGTCCCGATGCTGCTGTTGAGGCTCTGAAAAATAGGAAGGGCAAACGTTTTGTTAATCATCAAATGATGATGCCACATCAAATGCGACACAGGAAATTGTGTTTTATGAAGCCATAACATAATTAAATAATCCTCTATAAACCATAACGCAGCCACTGAGTGAAGAGGAAGGTTTAACATTTTATTAAGCAGGCACCGTACAAAGACAGGCTGCTTTGTTTAGTTTCTTTTATTCTTATTTTTTGTTACTGCATGTTTCTTTTGGACACAGGGACGGCAAGTTCTCTCTGAACTGTGACATGAAAGTGTTTTTGTGGTCCCCGAGAAGTTATGGCTGCCATTCTTAGTACAAGCTGATAGGGATCAAAATAAACGTTCGCCATGCAGATTCATATGGATTCAGACAATCTGACAAGCTTTGCTGTGTCAAAGTCAAAGGGCTGTGAGCGTCATAAAACCATGAAAAATGGGAAAACAGGGAAAACAGGGTGACAGCTGTGGCAATGCAATTACTTTCAACAAGAAAAGGAAATTAAATACGCTGAAGCACTGACCATGTGGGGAAAAAAAGAAAGAAGGCCTTACTGGGCCATGTCCCAACAGTAATATTACAAAAACAGACCTATTCTGACGTTTTATTGGACAGAAATATAAAAAACAACAAAGGAAAAAAAAGGCGCCTGTAAAGGTAATCAAACCTGAAACCTCATATGGACTAACCAGGCTGTCAGTGGCCGGCAATAATCGCAGGTAAAAGAGCCAGACCTACGCATGGCCTTCACTGAACCTGCAGTAGAAGAGTTCTGCTTATTCCACCTTCATCAATCACAGGACAACTGGGAGGAAACGTGGGAGAGGCACTGATTAAGGAGGGCGAGTGGGTGGCAGTCACGACAGGCCAGGTAAACAGAAGCAGGGCCGCTGGGGTCAAAAGCAGCCTTTTCCCACTTCAAGTCAGTAAAATTAGTTAAATTCTGTCTAAACACCTCTGGTAGAGTTTAACAGCTGCAACTCTGTTTCTCCTGACTGAAGGCATGAGCAATTGTTTTCAACACAGTAAAAGAAAAAAAAGACTGTGTTTATTTCCATCCAGACTCACAGGGTAATGATTTATGCTGAAATCTCATTTCCCCAAAACACAGTTAACACAGCACAATTACATTTTCAAACAGTTGACTGCCTGTTGGTAAAGTGTTCACAGCTAAAGCTGTGTGAACCAAAAAGGTCAGTGTGAGTGAATCTGGTGTGGGTGTGTGTCTGTGGTAAACGCACCATTACATGGCTCATTAGGGGCCTTACAGCTCACAGCACAAACTACAGCGCCAATATTTTGCATGTGGATCCTGTATTTGTGTCAAAATCTTTTAAAATTAGAAGTGAACGTGCTGAAACAGGTCAGCAGTTCAGCATTTGGCTTCAGCCTTGTGCTAATAGAGGGAGAGCAATATATATATATATATATATATATATGTGTAGAGAGAGGATATATTGTAAGTATATAAGGGCTCTTTCTGTGTCTATAGTCATAATTGCATCAATTTTGCAAGATCCAAACCATGACAGAGCCTACACCGTTTACTGAGCCTCACTCACTCTTCCTGTTTCCCTTCATAAAAAATGGCAGATGCATCTCTCAGATCCTGGATTTTTCAGACACTGTTCATCTGCTGTAGACAAAATGCTTGAAGACACAATTTAAAATAAGTTTTATTTCCCTAAGTTGTCTGTTATGTGTAGACAACACTGCCTCATCCCCTGAGTTAGGTGCCTTTTTATGCTTGAATGACACATTATTAAGTATTAAGTGGCTTAAAAAAACAAACAAAAAAAAACATTCCTTGGAAAATGGTCATGTACAAGGACTGGATTAAAAATGAGTGAAAAAGCAGCCAATGAAAAACTTAATAAAGCTTTCAGAAAGTCTGGAGAACTATTGCTCAAGATCACTTACAAAATTACAAGACAGTCTGGATCCTTGGAAGGAAAATGTGATGAAATGAAGAATTGCTCAAGACTTTTGCACAGTACTTTAGTTCCTAGTATTCACAGCAGCAGTGACTTCAGCCTTTTAAAAACTAGGTGCACACAGCACAGTCAGTTTGTGTGATGTTCACAAGAACGATAGTGTGGGTTTCTGGTGAGCTGCGTCACCTTGTGGGTGTACAAGGAGTAATCACTACTCAGTGTGACACCAACGCAAGTTGTGATGATTTCCCCTCTCATAATTACATCATTTTTGTTTTCGCTTTCACTCGAGCTGCACTAGTTAAGCAGGAGCACGCTCTCCAAGACTCCTAAGTTTTGCATAATTTCTAATGATTTTTAGTTTTACTCTTACAGGCCTGTCCTGACAAAGCAGAAAAGCTTCACGCCATTTCTTTTTTTGTGTAAGGATTGCATGATTTATGAGATTTCTCTAAAATCTAAATTACTGTAAACCACGTACAGACTTGATTTTACATTTCCATAAAGGGGCTTACTGTTGAGTGAATCAGTGGGGTGCGGGAGGTACTCGGGCTGCTGAAGAAGCCACGCTGTGGCACCAGATATTCATCAGCATCCACAGCATCCTCCATGTCCTCCCCGCTAATCAGGCTGCGGTAGAACTTAGTGTCTGAAGGACTCGGTAGGTGCATGCGGTCATCCCCCTAAAATCAAAGAGTTTACCCTTTTTGTTATACGTAACAAATCACTGCAGCTGATCATCAGATATTCTGTATATTTAAGCAATTTTAAAGAAAGAAGTGGCTTAAAATTATACCTGGATGACAAGATAACGCGGTGGATCCCGAGCCATCTTTGTAAACTCAGCTATGAGTTCTCGGAAACGAGGGCGGCTGTCTGCATCAATCATCCAACCTGCGCACATGCATCAGCAGAGATCATCAGGGTGGGTTGACTCAGTAACATGAAGCTTTAAATTTGTGAGTACATTAGCAGACATAATCTGTAAAAATAGCAGGTCAGCAGGAAGCAGAACTGGGAAAGACGGATGATAAAGACAAAACTAGAACAAAAAAAACAAAACTCTTTCGAGCCACGAAACAACTGCCATAAAATTTGAGTGTTTATTGAACATTCTGACGAAAAAAACAAAACAAAAAGAAATTGTATCATATTTGCTACATCACATCGATGATGTAGGAGTCTCGCGTATCAGATATGATACTCTAGACCAGGGGTGGGGGAGCTCCAGGCCTCAAGGGCCGGTGTCCTGCAGGTTTTAGATCTCACCCTGGGTCAACACACCGGAATCAAATGATTAGTTCATTACCAGGCCTCTGGAAAATTTCAAGACATGTTGACGAGGTCATTTAGCAATTTAAATCAGCTGTGATGGATCAAGGATACGTCTAAAACCTGCAACACACCGGCCCTTGAGGCCTGGAGTTTCCCATCCCTGCTGTAGGCTGTACAGGGATAACATAAAAAAACAACTGTTTGCTAAAGTGCATTATGTCTTAAAAACAATTAAAAAAAATGGTGTAACTAATTATTACTTTTTCCTTCCTGATTCATTTGCTGTTAACTGTCATGTGTGTGTTTGTTCTATAAAACTGGAGCAAACAGACAAAAAACACCCCCCAAAAAAGACTACTAATTACTGCAGCTCTTACATAAAGTAATAAATGCACACGGGTTTTGTACACGAGCTTACATTTCACCATGATCATGTAGACATCTATGGTGCAGATTGGTGGCTGAGGCAGGCGTTCTCCCTTCTCCAGTACCCCAGCTATTTCACTGGCTGGAATCCCATCGTATGGTTTGGTCCCAAATGTCATCAGCTCCCAAACTGTTACTCCTACAGTACAGAGAGGAGGACAGATGGTAAATGTCAGTTTGATGAGCTGTCACTGACTTTGTTTTGCTTCCAATAAAAAGAAAAAAAGAAAAAGAAAAAGAAGGGAAGAAATGAGAGTGACAGGATGTACGCTTCTTAAGTATTGCACAGTATCAAAATAGCTATGTTGACAAATTGGCTCTGCATGCAGGAGTGGGAGTGAGCAGGATGCCTCTCTGCGTTGGAGGAACTGAAAAAGGGAAAAGGAGAAAAGGAAGCCCGCCACTTCTGCTAGGGTCTGCTGATGCTTTTGCCATACTGAGCGGAAGGCATGATCAAACCCTCGGGGAAAGAAGATTTGGAAGCTGGCCCACAAAAAAAAGCTGTAGTGTGTTTGGTTTCTGTGTGTGTGTGTGTGTGTGTGTGCTCCTGGGCTGGTAGAACTGTTTATGTGGGTTGAGGCAGCAATCTCTTCTGACGTGAAATTGTCCATCCGAGACTGTCAGCATGTAGGTGTGCGCTACCTAAAATCGCAGATGCTAACAAGATGTTCTCCCTTTTCACTCCCTGTTTGATGAGCTTTATTGACTCCAAAAACAACACGCTATCCGAAGCTTCAAAATGACTGCCCGCTCCCTGCCTCACTTTCTGTTAAAACGCTTTATTTAGCGATTAATAAATATTGCTCCAGTGAGAATGTCACCAATGCTCAGGAGCACGGAGGGCCAGCTGTTTTACTTATCAGAAGTTACACAAGGATTCGAGCTCAATCAGGGACAGCGCAAGCAAGGTTTTCTTTTCTTGTGACTCACCGTAACTCCATACGTCGCTCTGGTGCGTGTAAGTTCTGTTCAGGATCGACTCAAGAGCCATCCATTTTATCGGCACCTGTGGGAATAATCATTACAGTGTGATTAAAAAGAATGCAAAACCCGTATGCACTTAAACTAATGACAAGTTACCCACTAACATGTTTATAATGTATGGTGTGTATATCATGTTGCATATGCATGCATGGGATGAATTAAATGTGACACTACGGATAACAGTGTGTTTATTTTTTGGCACCACTTTGCATCCCTGCAAGTATTTGCAGGGATGTTTTCAACTTAAAACGCTGCAGATCTTTATATTTCTGAAATTGATTAATGTCTCTGGCCAATTCATTAGAGTTTATGATGCAATTTTGCTGCCACCTAATGGTGAGATATACAAAAGTCTCTTTTTATTATTAACCTCTTGAGACCCGAACTCTTCCACAGCATGCATTTTTAATTTTTCTTTGATATTTGGGCATATTAGGACCCGATGAATGTAAAAACAAAGAATTACCAGATTTTTTTTAAAACTGATTTTTGTTTCTAAGAAAAATTAGAACCACATATGAGGATATTCATTTAAAATTTCAATAGAACAGTAGCAGTATAATGTCCTTGTAAGTAGATATCAGGCCCTTGTAGAGCAAATTTAGTATTTTGGTCTAAATAACCCAAAATGTGATGTCCACATATGTGGACGCCAGGTCCTAGGAGGTTAAGGCAGACTTAAGGTATGCAAAGACCATCACACAAACCTTATGGCAGTTTTTCTTCATAAGCCAATGATATATTTTTTAATTGCACTACACAAAAGAGTGTCTGAAGTTTAGTGATTCATCTGGATTTGTCCAGATGTTTTTTTAAAGACCTGTTCTTTTCCACACCTGCACATTTGGTGTTGACAGGCAATACAGAGAGATATCTGAGCTGAATTTGTATTATATTATTTCTCCTAATTACACCTGATATAACATGCACTGCTCACCTTGTAGTTACAGGCACAAAAAAACAAACAGCACAGCATGTTCTTGAGTAAGGAATCCTTCAGTTTCCCAAAGGAAACAAAAGACAAGAAACCCTTTTGATTTGTCATTTCTCTCTGAATGTAATTCACTGACAGACGCTATTTAAATACAGGACCACTTGCATGAGACACAGAACAAAACAAATTTCAAAAATATATCTTTTATGCAGTCGAGCTGAGTGAACTACAGGAAGTGGTCTGTCAGTTGGCAACTGGCTATAAATTCATTAAACAAGATCATGTTCATATTTAGGCCCATTTGTGTGCAGCAACAACTCTATCCATCAGTTTTCTTCCACTTATCTAATTCAGGGTTGTGAGGGGGCTGGAGCGTACACTCTAGACAGGCCACCAGCCTAATGCAGGGCTAACACAGAGAGACAGGAAACCATTCACACTCACATTCACTCTAAGTAGGGCTGTTCGATATAACGATATATA